CTCGTTATTTTGGACATTCTGTAAGAAGAGCTCACATCGCCCCCCTCCCCCGGGCGCTGATTGCAGGACAAAGGGCGAGGCGGTCCTAATGAGACGGTCCACAACCTCGCTGCAAAAGTTTTACGGCGATGTTTGCCCCGGGCCGCGGCAAGCCATTTATTTTATATCGAATATAATATACAGTAAAATGTAAAAATAAAAGCAGTAAATGTAAAAAAAAAAGTATAGAAATTGTATAAAAAGCGAAGTTAACTTCGTTATCTCGACTAAGTACGTACAACTTTTTCAAAGTGTCACTTATAAACAATACCTATTGATAAATATATTTTCCGATGGTACGGGGTTCATATGAATGAAATGTAAACACATCATACGTTATGTAACCTCACCCCTATCTATTATAGCAACCGGTAGGCATACAATTAGATAGGTAACGAACAGCCCCCGGCAGCGCGGCTGAGGCGGCTGAGGCGGCTGCGGCGGCGGCGGCGCCTTACGTATCTGGCGGCGCGGCGGCCCGTATGCAAATAGCGGGTCGCGACAATGTAAGCCCCGCGGCCAACCCGCGGCCCGCAGCGCGCAGCCGCACGCAAATGAGCGGCCAATCGCGGCCCGCTGCCGTCGTATGGAAATTCACCGAATTCAAATTACTTTAAAATCTGAATGCGCATGCACGGAACATAGTTTTTTATTGGCGCTTGGCTTTTGAGGACGAGGCTCCCGGGCGCGAGCCGGTCTAAGGGTTGCGAGGGGACAACCCTTCCGCAACCCTTTTTTTGGTGCAGGCGTTTTTTTACTCTTGCATTCAGTGAAGGGCACGCGTCATGAGATCGCGACGATTTTTTGTGGCGTCTCGTTAGCAGTTAACAGTCGAAACGAAAATTTGTCTCTACAATAAAAAGTTGATTTCACACCTGGGCCCATTGCGACCCCCCGCGGAAGGGTTTCGGAGGCAGACGTGCGACCGGCAAACGGCCTCGCGCGTGTGCCCGTTTTTTGTAGTACTTTTTAACACGAGATACGGAATTTTTGTTATCATTAACAAAATAAACTGAGGATGAAACAGATAAAGAAATGACCGTTGTATTGGCCGGCACAGCGCGGTCGGGTGGTCCGGGCTCCGGGAATGGACTTTCACCGATGTTATTTTCAGGTACGTTATTTTTCAAAATTGATGACAGAAAGTAACACCAACATGAGGTGACAGGGCAAAGACAAGCGCGTGTCCAATATATTAGTGGGCGCGGGAGTGTCAGCGAATATCAGTAAACAGCAAGTGTTGTCAAACAGCGAGGTGTTGGCAATCGGCTAATGTGTGTGCCGCCTCGCCTCGCCTCGCCTCGCCACGCTACGCGCTACGTCCATTCTGTGCAAACAGCATCAGCTAATAATTTTGCTAAAAATATCATACAAATATTGCAACATGTTTGAACACTGTCAACACTTTACTACTTTATACATGGAAAGTTTGTACAGCACAGCACAGCACAGCACAGCACACCAATACCACAACATTTAAATGTATAACGCGCATACCAACTTACAACTTATTTAAAAATGTTGTGTTCAATGAAAAGACGACTCAAGGATTGCTTGTCTCGGTGCTACTGGAGCGCGAGGACTCTCAACACACAGAGCCGACGTCAACATCGGCCGCGGTCTAATGACGGCTTCGAGCAAACTCCACCCGCAATCTGCGTCCACCAGAGCATAGATATTGTTTGCCATAGGAAGCCTCTGGAAGTTGCAATAACATTAAGCAAGGCGTATTACGAAAATTTATCTTACAGGCGGTCGTCAGTGGACACGCTAAAATAGTACTTGTAGAGTTAACGAAGTATAGCAACCGGGCGCTTGATTGTTTGCCACCGAGTTGTATAAAAAGTTATTCCGAGTTTTTGCACTTTTTAATGATGTAGCATTGCCGTCGTAGCGGCATGTTATTCTAAGTTATCGTAAGTATCGATATTTAGTGAACGTTCAGCATCGCGCTGGGGGTGGGGGGGGCGCG